CAGTGTGGTCCAGTACAGTGTGGTCCAGTACACTAGGGTCCAGTACAGTGTGGTCCAGTTCAGTGTGGTCCAGTACAGTGTGGTACAGTACAGTTTGGTTTAGTACAGTGTGGTCCAGTGCACTAGAGTCCAGTACAGTGTGGTCCAGTTCAGTGTGGTCCAGTACAGTGTGGTCCAGTACAGTTCAGTGTGGTCCAGTTCAGTGTGGTCCACATCAGCACCCAGATGTCTCTGCCCTGGACTGGTGGTGTGACTGGTCCAGTTCTGGTCCTCACCTGGTCCTGGTCCTCACCTGGTCCTGGTCCTGGTCCTGGTCCTGGTCTGTGGTTTGTTGATGAAACTGCAGTGAGTTTCAGAAATAGGTCGGAGCTGAAGAGACGCAGCAGTGACGGAGTTCAGAAACAGTTTCCATGTTTGGAGTGGAGTTGATGGAGTTTGTCTTTTTTTAGTCTCTCTCTCTCTGTGTGTGTGTGTGTGTTGTTAATGTGAAACAGCCTCAAGGAAACAGAGAGGGCATCTTAGATGAGACGGGGGAGGAAGGCGGGGGAGGCGGTAATAAAAGCAAACCAAATCCCTGCCGGCAGACGGAGCTTGATTTACCTGACGCTGGATATTAAAAAGCTCAGACGGACGTCCAGCTGAAGACTGGCTGAGCAGCAGGGGGCGGGGCCAGAGGTGAGGTCAGTGTGAGGTGAGGTCAGTCACACTTACACCCCCCGGTACCTCCCACCCCCCCCACTCCCCTCGACCACACACAAATTCACCCGGTGTTCTCGGTTAGGAGGAATCGAACCCCCGCCCCTCACTCCTAAATCACCACTGCTGCCCTGCCGAAGGAACTCTCTCGTGTCTGATTATTTTGATATTTTATAAGACAGTCAGTCAGACAGTCAGACAGTCAAACAGACAGTCAGACAGTCAGACAGTCAGAGACACAGCCATCCTCACCGTCGATTTAATGAGGTAACGGTTCAACACTGCCATCTGCTGGAAAGCTGTTTCCAGATTCGAGAATTGTTCCAGGTACTTAAGAAAATTTTAAAAAAGTTTCTTTGAAAAGAAAATTCAGATGAAGGTGACTAAAGTGTATAAAATGTCTCTACCACAAGAGGGCGACTGCAATAAAAAATAAAAAATGAAATTCTGATAAAAGTAACAGCAACAATTCATTAACACAAAAGAGATGATTTTTTTTTTTTTTAAACCTGGTTATGTTATGGTTGTGTGTGGGTGTGTAAGGTTGTGGGTTCGAATCCCACCTCACAGCTCTATTCTGTTCACGTTGTCATTACTGACCTCAGATGACGCAGGTGAATTGTTTGGGTTTTGAAGGCTTGGAAATAAATATAACTGAACTATATTATGGTTTGAGATATACAGTATGGTGCTCTCCAGCGGGGAAATGGTGTAACTGCAAGAAAGGGTCGACGGTACTTTTAGAACGTCACGAATGTTCCGTTAACAACGACTTACAGAAACAAACGACCACCTCCGTGATAAATAATGTATATTTTTAATTTATTTTACTCGTCTTTTGGGTTTTTTTGTTCAGTCCGAACTTATTGTTAAATAAAAAAACAAATTTTTATTTTTAAATATAGTATGTCTGCTCGGTCGCTTTTGTGACGTCAGTTTCAGGCGACAAAAAAGAGGGCGGTTTGAAAGAGAAGTAGCGACTTTTCAAAACATGTACGGAACGATTTTTCAGCAATGAACAATTTATATATAATGTTCGTTGACGGTTAATATAAAATAAATATTTTTTTGTTGGTGTTTAAATGTTTTCGCTCGTATTCCGCCGCCCCCTTGTGAGTTAGCCGATTAGCCAGCTAACTGCAGCCGTGTTTGTCCACTGCTTGTGTTGAAACTTTTGGATCTTTTTCCACCGTTATAGTAAAAAAAATCAACAATAATAAAAATGGCTAGTGTACACGAAAGCTTGTATTTTAACCCGATGATGACAAACGGGGTGGTCCACGCCAACGTGTTCGGAATCAAAGACTGGGTGACACCGTATAAAATCTCCGTCCTGGCGCTGCTGCATGAAATGACCGCCTCGAAGATCACTCTGCCGGAGAGACGGCGTCTGAACAAACTGATCCTCCCGCTGCAGCAGGTCGGTCTCTACGAACTACACCCGAGCAGGTGTGGGTATAATGTACCGTAAATGTCCCGTGAACTGCTGGAAAATGTTTTTGTTTTTTTTAATCTTCATAATAAGTCCAAATATTACACTGAAAAGTGTAAAAAATAAAAATCCCTAGAGTTAATTACAAATGATAAAAATTACTTTTTGTAATGTAATATATTTTGTTTGTAATATATATATAGTAATATATTTTCTTGTTTTTTTTCCTGTTTTAATTGAGCAGTTTTTCTTGTCTCGTGTCCTTCACGTGTTCTTGTCTCTGACCAGGGTCCAGACCTGACTCTGGGTCAGTTCCTGGAGACCGTGGAGGAGTGCTGCCCTCAGACCGCATATGCTGTCAAACTCAGGTGATCCACACAGACACCGCGTCATCAGGTTTCTATCTTTTTTTTTTTTTTTTTCGTTTTTTTTTTTTTTTTTTTTTTGTTCTTCCAAAGGCTGCACGAGATGGCGGACGGAGAGCTGAAGGACATGGAATATTTCTTCTCCACGCTCCCCACTCCGTTCACCGCCTTCGACTCGGAAGCCTACAAAACCAGCGTAGTTGGTGAGTAGAACGCGGGCTCTGCCTTACCATAAACGGACACCCAACCCCCGCCCCCCTCCCCCGGTGACCGTTGCCTCCGTTTGTGCGTTGCAGGCCTCTTCATCAGACACATGCTGCTGGCCTACAACAAGCTGTCCTTCAGCCAGGTGTACAAGCTGTACAAGTCGCTGCAGCACTACTACCACAGTCACTACCGCAAACCCGGCGACGAGCAGGCGAGTATACCAGTGCTGGTGGCAGACGACTCGGAAATGGACCTGACCAGCACCGAGGACACGATGGGCGACAGAATGGACCGAGACGAGATGGACACGCCGCTGCACGCGTCAGATCTACGGTGATTTTTGAACGCTCGCCACTTTAGTTTTCCTAGTGATGCTTTTCAAGCCTTTCGTTGCATAACTGTTGTCTGTGTTGTTGCCGTGGTTGTAGAAAAGACGCCACGCCCAGCAGGGGGCCGCTGTCACAAAAACAGGCGGAGTTCTTCCTAGCAAGACAGGTATAAAAATGGCGGATTAAATTAGTAAATTCCCATTGAATGTGTTGTTGTTATCAATCGTTGACACTTGAGGAAATCCAGCGAAAGAAGCAATAAAAAAAATAATCGTCGTTATTTCCATCGCTTGTCTCCAGGCCTACCTCCTGAAGAACGATGAGAACAAAGCGCTGAAGCCCGCCGCCCTGCAGGAGGAGATCAACAACATGCTGAAGTTCAACCCAGATTTTGCCGAGGCCGTAAGAACAAACACACGTGGGTGACCGGGTGTTTTTTTTTTTTCTCCGCCCAGGAGATTCAGCCTGTACTCTTCTGCCACTCCGCAGCACTACCTGAACTACCTGAACAGCATCAGGGTCCAGGACATTTACCTGTCCACCCACAGTCTCCTGCACTACTTCGATCGACTCATTTTGTCTGGAAACGAAGGGAAAAGCAACGGGGACGAGGGATACGGTCGCAGCCTGCGATACGCAGCTCTGAACCTGGCTAGCCTCCACTGTCGCTTCGGTCACTAGTAAGTAAGGGTGTGATGTGATCCGCGAGTTCTTCCCACATTCTGGTCGTACGTAGGGACCTGACGTCTGGGTTTAATAGTGGGTCACAACCATTGTTTTTAGTCGCATAGCGCTCCCTACTGTCCTAGAGTGAGTAGTGACATGGTACGACCAGTGACTTTGTGAGTCTACTCCTGACACCTTGACGTGAGATTCACGTTTTTTCGTCTCAACCAATGAGAATTGTTACGCATTTGTATCGATGTTTAACCGATTCCCGATGCGTTCTGAGGTAACAGGCGGCGTGTGACTGCGACGATTCTGACGCTGCCGTTGTCGTCCGTCTACTGCAGTCAGCAGGCCGACCTGACCCTACAGGAGGCGGTCCGCATCGCCCAGGAGTCCAGTGACCACGTGTGTCTGCAGCACTGCCTGGTGCGACGCCCTCATGTGTTACTAATGTGTTAGTACGTGTTGACCCGCTGAACCTCGGCCTAACGTCTCCGCGTGTCTCTGTGTCCTGACCCAGAGTTGGCTCTACACCCTGGAACAGATGAAAGGTTCCGACAGTAACGTCTTAACTCGGGATTCGGTGAAAATGTCTGCGCATTTCTGTCTGCCGGTGAGTTCACGCAGTTTCAGTTCCCGAAAGGAGAAACTGTGTCGTCAATCACAGAGCTCACCTTTTCGTTACTCTCGTTACAGTACCTGGTTTCTCTGGGAATTCAGTCTCTGGTCCAGCAGGGGGCGACGCAGGGTAAGACGGCGCACAAGCTGATGGACACTCTGAAGGACACGGACATTCTCCACTGGAAGCACAGTCTGTCGGAGCTGATCGAGATCCGACTGGCTCTGACCACGTCCATATGGAGGATGTACGGTAAAAGGTCAGACCCCCGCCCCGGATGTTTTGCGGCTGATTGGTTGTTTCTGATGGTTACTGCGGACTTACCGCCCAATCACAACAGTGAATATCTCAGCGGTTCCCTGTGGCTCAGAGATGAGGCAGTGAGAGCGCCCCCTGGTGTCGGCGGGGGGGTTACTATGGA